GGCTCTGTGGCTGGTGCCCGGCTACAACCGGCCTCGAAGGCCCAGACGGATTCAGCGCTTTCGGGGATCTGATCCGAAGTGCCCAGTCCCTGGTAGTTGTGGGCCTGGCCCATGTTGCAGGCAGGACTGCTGCAGCCCAACTGAAGCAGCCCCCGTCTGTGGCAGCAGGGCCACTTCAGCCTCGTTGAGCTGGATCCCCCCCGCCTCACTAGAATTGGTTAACCAGTTAAATGCAACGTTTAACTGATCAAACACCATTTTACATCGCTATCTCCTAAGGCCTCGATCCTGTAGAGTTACATACTTAATGCTGTGCACTGTGTGTTGTCCTAGTGCAGAAGTCTTTGTTGAATTAACATCTTATTCCTGCCTGTATTGCACTGAAAAGACAACACAACAAGCTGGCCTAGGGTTGTATCAGAAACAAAATACAGGTCTATGTAGCACTTTAAAGACTAACAAGATGGTTTATTAGATGATGAGCTTTCGTGGGCCAGACCCACTTCCTCAGATCAAATAGTGGAAGAAAATAGTCACAACCATATATACCAAAGGATACAGAGAGTGACCTAAATAGATTGCAGAATCTGTATCGTTGGCAATGCACAAGCCAGAGCCAGTCCTGCTGGATGCTGACTTTGCAGGCTAATGCGAAACCCCATCATGCTCCCTTTACTTTTTCAGCCTAAAAGCAGGTCGTGGCTGACACTTGGAAGCCTGGCAAGGTGCTCTGCTACGCATCCTTTAGCGGGGCTCTCTGCGTAGCTTTGGACAATGAACGGTCAGTTCGCACAGGCCTAACGCTGCCCGATTCAACACGCAGCAGATGAGAAATGCTGCGCAGCGAGCAGTGACTTTGGATCAGATCCCCGCTCTGATTGTGCTGGGGATGGGCACAGCTCCTAAACCTTTCTCCTTCTCCTCCAGACTCACAATTTTTAATGAAAAACTGCCCTGCAGCCACATTTCTGAGCAGTGTGAGTGTGGGGCAAGGCAAGCGGGGAGCCTGCTTGGGGCTCCCTGCAGTGTTTAGCCTGAAATAACAATGAGCAAAATAAATAAGAAATAAAAAAGCAAGTACATTGTCAGAGCAATTATTATTTAACAATTACTACAGAACAGTGTTTCTCAAAGATGCCCATGGACCCACTCAGAGAGCTGCTGACTGGTCATTCCCGTTTGAGCGGTGTGAGGGTGGGGCGAGGCAAGTGGGGAGCCGGCCTGGGGCTCCCTGCAGTTTCCGTGGGCAGGATCCGGTCCATAGGCCATATTTTCCCAGGCCTGCATTAACTTTTCAGGTATCTATTAGGAAAGTAAGCAGAAGTGGAAAAAGTACATGCAAGAAATGCCTGCTGAAGCAGCAGCCATCAATCCTCTTTAACATTCTGCAGGCCCACTCTAAGAAAGCTGCTGAGTGGCCACTCCAGTTTGTCTATTTACTGGCTCTGCAGCTACAGAGCCTCACAGCTCCCATTGGCTCTGGTGTGCCATTTGCACACCAGTAAATAGACAAACTGGAGTGGCCACTCAGCAGCTGTCTCAGAGTGGGTCTGCGGGCCTCTTTGAGAAACATTGCTCTGTGGTAATTGTCAGACTAGAACTACTCTGACTGAATATACTTGCTTTTTTATTTATTATTTATATTGCTCATTGTTATTTCAGGCTAAACAAAATCTGTTTTGCTATATGTTCAAGATCGTTAGTATAATGAATGCATTAATATTTACAATAATGCATAATATTGTAATTTTTGATACACTACTGTGTTTTATTTACATTTGTAACAGCTATCACTTTAAGGGAAAATTACTCTGTTCAAAATAAGTACTTCCTCCTTGATGGGGCTGGGAGAGAAGGTGGCTATAAGGTAACATCAACTTGAATCTATGTGAAAAATAGTCTCAAATATTGATTTTTAACATTACAGTATGCTAGCCTGATAAAGTCTTGTAGGAATTCTCCCTGCTCTCATGACTTTACCAGTTCAGTATGTATCAACCTTTTCAAAACAATCTCTACTTTTAGACCATAGTTAAGTTTTCTTTCCAGATAGTATTTAATAATCTGGTTCTTGTTCTTGAAAGGGAAAATCATTTGCTTTTTTCCACATACATCTCCCTTTTCCTGGTATAAAATACATTTACTTCAGTTCAAAATGAGCCTGCACATGAAGTTTCCCCTATTCACTTGAGTGAAATACAGTATTTGGAGTTTTGGTTAGAAAAAAGCCTACTTTACTTCACAGTAATATGTCACACCCCAGTGTACCTTCTGTTCTATAGGTGTATGATAAAGCATCAAGCAAGGAGTAAACATGATGTTGCATCCTTGGTTTACTTTTAGAGCTATTTATATTCATAATTATGTGCTCAGTAAAGTAAACTGATCTAGATAACACATCACTTGTAATATGGCAAATACAAGCAGTGGTAAGTTCTGTTGAATGCTGTAACATACCTATTGTCTAAAAGTACTTGATATTGTTTTCAAAAACATACAAGAGGAACTGCACTTAAAATTTCAACAGCAATCAGTGTTAGGGAGAATAAATTTCTTTACTAATCCATAACAGCTTAGACTGTTTTATGTGACTGGAAATTGTGTTGTGCTTTTATGTTTCCTACAGCACTATGTCCCAGATGAAAACAGAAGATGAACTGATTCTTTTTGAAAAAGAGATCAAGGAATTTTGGACAAAATTCAAAAGCATTTGTGGTAGTGAACAAATCAACCAGGTTTTGGGACTAAGAGAATCCTGCAAGGAGTCCATAAAAGCACTTTCAGGTACAACATTCATGAGTTTACATTGCTAATTTAATTTTAACTCCCTATCATCGGTTGACTAAAATAAATCTCTATTACAGAGAAGTGGTCCAAGAAGTTAAAAGAAGGGGATCTAATGGTTGACAAAATTCAGGAGTACAGAAATGGTATGTTATCGGCTTGTATTTATAACTTCTAAAATGAACTAATGGGTGTTTTGTCAGAACAAAACACTTCAGCTTAAATTAGTTCAGTTAAAAGTGAACTGCAAAGCCTAAATGCAGTTAGTGTTACACCAGAATTTCTGGTCAAAATGCCTTCATTAACAGAATAAGTTGTCTCAAAATGTAGACCTATTAATGTCTAATGAAAAGGTTTTTTGAATAGTATATAGAGTAAGCTGTTACTAAATAAAGGAGAGCTTTGCCAATTTCAAGAAAACAGCAGTCGTGGTACAAAATCAGTTTACTATAATTAAAAAAAAAAACCAAAATATTACTTATGTCAATACAAAATCAGTTTACTATAATTAAAAAAAACCCAAAATATTACTTGTCAGAGTTTACTTCATGCAGTAGAGTACATTTTACAAGGCTAATAGCTTTTTTGTTTTCTGGGCTAACTTCCTCCTACATCCTGATTATGGGCAAAGTTATCTTGTAAAACTAGGATTAACTCACTCATTTCAACTTTGCAAGTTGCTGTTCAAAGTTGGGGATAAAAAAATCTTAATGTAACTAGCAGAGTTAGTGTTCTTTTGACCCAGAATGAATGATAGGGTAACTGCATGCTCCTAAAGTGACAAACTCAAAAGCTGTGCAGTTCTGTTACTGCAAACAAGCCAAGTTGCACTGATAGGCAGTAGATGGCCTTCATTTAGAAATTCTTCTGACTGTTTTTTCACTCAAACCTTTCAGAATCATTTTTGTTTGTACTTGATGTTTGCAGTGGAAGAGCTACCTCATACATAAGAATATAGACTTCTCTGTTTGGGTGAAATAGCTTATGCAGAGATTTGGTTTGGGGGGGGGGGTAGTTCTTTGCCTGACTTTACTCACTTGACTCATCTTAGATTTCGGGGGAAGCATTTATACATAAAGCTAGGTGCATCTCCAAAAGTGTGTGGTTGTAGAATCTGGGACTTAATTAACTGTAGATATTCAAGTTATTTCTCTACTTCACAGAGATCATCCGACAGAACCAACTCACTGAAGAAAAGCAAGATTGCTTAACTGAAATGAATTCTAAAATAAAGGATGAAGAAGAACAAAAAAGAGCCTTAATTGATAGCATCCGAGAGCTCAAGGAAGAATTGACCAAAAAAAGGGAAAGTAAGTTGTAAAATTGAGCGAACATGAAAACACTCCAGTTTTTTTACACAAAGTTTTCTAAAGGGTATATTGGTGGTTTTGCAGTAGGTCTCTTCAGCATTGTAACTGTGCAAATTTTGGAGTTAGCGTGTTGATTCGTGCTTGTATACTATAGACAGTACTGGTTTAATATGGTGTTTGATCAGCAATAATTTATATACAACAAATTGCAACACTTATGAAAATCTCATTAGAATGAGGAATAATTGGCAACTAGCTGAGCAATGATTTGAGTGGTAATTATAATTTAAAGCAGTTATTTTGTTTCTTAAAATAGCATTCATAGTACTAACCAAGTAATACCATGCTACAGTGTTAATAATTAATGCTACAAAGATTTAAATGACCAGAAATGGAGTAGTTGTCATGATCTGGGAACTTTAACAAAGGAAAGGCACTTGCTTTTAAAAGGCTTACTCTGCAGGATTTTCGAATGATCTAAAATTTGTTTTAAAATGGTTTATTCTTGCTTTGACACTTTAGTTATGTCTGCTAAAAACAAGGCCACCAAAGAGAAGCTGGAAAGATTGAGTAAGTCTAAAGAACTGTTTGAAGAGCGACTTGGGCTAGAAATACGCAGAATTCATGGTAGGTTTCTAAGTACCAATGTGTTCAGCTCTTTACCTTAATCATTCTGTTCATAAGTTGGCAAAATCACCATCAACCTCACAGACTAGACAAATAGAGTAGATTTTGTTAGTATGTTTAAACACAATTTAAAAATACATGGTTATGAGTGTGACTTTGAGCATTAGTTTAATCTGAACAATGTGGTACAGATTAATTTTTCTGCAGAGCCTCTCTTTGGGCTGGTCTGTATTGCTACAAAGCAATGAAAACATCTGTTACCGCCTTAGGGTGCGTCTACACAGCTCCCTTAGCTCAAAATAAGCTACGCGATTTGTGCTACGCAAACCGTGTACCTTATTTTGAGTGCATTTTGAAATAGCTTATTTTGTAATTTGGCGCTGTCTACATAGTGCCAAATTTTGAAATAGCATGCTATTCCTCGTGGAACGAGTGTTACTGGGACATCAGAAGAAGCCGCTGGTTATTTCAAAATCTATTTTGAATCTATTTTAAAATAACTGGTTGCTTCAATAGATGCAGAATAGCTTTTTTGGGATACTTCTGGTATTCTGAAATAGCTTGTACCTTTAGAAATGCTTCTGACTGGATAGGGGTGAAATAAGACAAGTATAGCTATAAAAGTTGCAGTTAAACTGAAAGATTTTAGTCATTATAAACAGATTAAAGTTTGGCACAAAGATTTTGGTCTGTAATACATGTAGCAATGTAATAAAAAATAGCCAACATTAATTTCATTTTGGACACTCATTGTACCTACACTCTACTGTCAAGTAGTTTTAAAAGAATACTTAAGTAGTTGAAGCCCAAAATTTGGGTTTGCCTTCTTACGAAAAGAGATGTTTGGTTTTATTATCATCAGCTGTAAAATATTTTTACTAGCTGAAATTTAACTTCAGCTTAATTATGTGGCTGCTACTGAGCGTGCAAGTTAGTGGTTTTATTGAATTCTCTTTCTACTTTTGCTTTAGATGAACAGTTACAGTTTATATTTCGATGTATTGACCACCAAGATCCTGACAAGCCATACATGTTTACTCTCTGTATAAATGAACAGGGAGACTATGAAGGTATGTATAGACATTAAATGAGTGTGTGTATCTATATTTTTTTTTTCCCTGTGGGACTACGGAGTGATGTTGTCATGTCACTGGCATCTCCCCACCCTTAGCCCCCCTCCTGGTGCAATGTGGATGGGAAACAGGGTTTTTTTTGTGGAAGAAACCTCTTTTGCTAAAATGGCCATCAGAGCTTTCTAGCGTAAGAGAGCATCCACACTGCCATAGACGCTCTTGCGCAAAAGCACATGGCTGTGTGGACACACTCTTGTGCAAGACCTTTTGAACAAGAACTCTTGCGCAAAACAGTTCTTGCACAAAAAGCCTGCAGTGTAGACGTGGCCCAAGAGTTAAAATTGTTTTATAAGAAAATAGAGACCAGAACTTGGCTTTTTAACTTCTATACAAGCCCACTGGCATCAATGAATTTGTCCTTGGTTACCCATTGGCAAAATATCACTTTGAACATCAAAGATTTCAGAAGAAAAAGTAGGATGTGTTCACATAATTATAGGCTACATTGCCATGCAAGTGCTCAGGAGAGCTCAAAGGTAGCACAAGCAACCTTAATTCTGGCATTTCTTAACTCTCTTGAAGTCTTGACTTTTTAACTTTAACATACTTTTAATAAGATAAATACACAACTGTTTTCCTCTCCCACCTTTACATGAATAAAGTACTGACTCTTGAGATATTAAGCAAAGAAATGGCAAGGGGGAAGGGGAGTGGGAAGCTGAGAAGAGCAGTGAGTTAAATATAAAGCAAGGAGAGGCAAAAGATAAGAAAGGAGTGTGACTGATGGTATCAGTTTTTCCACTTCAGTTTTTTGTGGGATGCCACTCAGAGGCAGCTCCCAGTGTGTACTTTAGGGGTCCATTAACCAACAAAACTTTTATTTCCTTGTGCTAACAAATCAAAATTTGTGCATCAAATGGGAGACATGTATTAACAACAGGGTACTCACTCGTGCCCCTTCAAATGTTTCCATGTGCCACTCAAATTCAGACAGCGCTAATGATGATTTCCTTCCATTATAACCCAAATGCAGGCTGGAAATGCAGCTTTTTAGGAGCTGTTTTTCAACTTACTGCTCTTATACTGCAAGATTTTCTTGAACTTAATTTTCATAATATATACACTATTATTCCTGAATTATTCCTCTGAAATTAATACTATGCTCTATTTTAAAGTCCACTTAATCGTTCACTTTTCCTCCACGCAACTTACCTGAAAATTGATGTTGCTCAGTAGTGACCAGTGGTCAGAATGTGCTGCAGCTTTTGAGTCAGGGTGGGCACTGTTGTGGCAATAACTTGAGTAGTTGCAACTGCAGTGACACAAGGGGAAGGTCTGTGCATGACAAATTGTTGTGCCCTCAGACAAAGCCGTGTTTTCTCCTTTGCTGAAATTCATCCCATGAATTTTTAGGCGTAAAATAGACAATTGGAGCACATGCAAATCTACAGTAAACGGTTACATTACTAAAACACTGCAAGCAGTGAAACAGGTAAGGGTACCTCTAGACTTACTTTCACTTTCAAAAGAAGATATGCAAATTTGGAAGCAATTTGCATATCATCTTCCCATTGCTTTTTCGAAAGGGGTTTTTTTTTTTTGTCCCCCCCCCTCAGAAAAAGCAAGCAGTTTAGACACAGTTTTTTTAAAAGAACCTGTAAGCCTCAATTTTTGAGGAAAAGGGTTCTTTCGAAGAAAGGAGGTTTTTCCAAGAGAACTGCATCTAAACTGCTTGCTTTTTTGAAAAAAACTCTTTCGAAGAAGTGATTGGAAGATATGCAAATTACCACCAAATCTGCATATCTTTCGAAAGTGAATGTAAGTCTAGATGTACCCTAAGAGACTCTTAATATAACAAACTAAAATGCATATCCCAACCAGCATATAGCTGTTACCCAACTCATTAAATGAAAAAATTCAAGTCACACACCATGTAATAATTGACTGTCTTGTTTTGGGGGAATACTTGAGACTAGGAAGTATCACTTGTCTTGGAAATACAAAATAATTTTTAATTGTTTCCTTAGTGACAAGCAGCTCTCCTCATCTGGATTGTATAACAGAACTCCAGGTAAAAGTGAGAGAAACCAACAACTTTGCTGCATTTGTTGCCAACATCAGAAAAGCTTTTACAGCTTTGTCCTATAAGTAACCTGCAATTATATGTAAGACTGTCTTGTCCCAATTTACATTCCCTGCCCTTCCTGTTTGTACTAGCATAATATTGGAATGAAATAAATATTGATGTATGTTTTAATATTCTATTTTCTAAATAAAGAAAAATGGTCAAATGTTTTAGTCCGTTTTTATCAGCCAGATGTAATTTTGGTAACTCATTTAACAATACAATTGAAGCAAATATTTTGTTGGTCCAGTGTTTTCCACAACTGTGGACTGGCTATAAGTGCAACTGTAATAAAAAACTTGTAACTCAAAAGAAAGCCAGCACATCATCTTCAAGGAAATAAGGCCAAAGCAAGCTAAGGGCTGCATCCTGCACATGGGGAAACAAGATCATGTTCTGACATTCATATCTGTGTTTACTACAGAAGGTGACCCTAATGACTTCCACAGCCCCATTCTTGTCCCCTCTTTCTACCACCCAAACTCCTACAAATGGCACAGCCCTAATGGAAATGTGGCCCCTGCAAGGAACCCCTCTGATTATGAGATTTGTAATATGCCATCTATCACAGTGCTTCAGCTGAAGTACCAGTTCTGAATGCGTAGCTAGTGCATCATTGCACCCAAGATTTTAGAATACCTGTAACTGTCTTACACTTTTCTAGTCACTTAAACCAGTGCAAGATGAATGTAAACTGCTATCAAATCAGAATAGTTTTTGGCAGTGAGTACTAGGAGCCTTTCTGCTAACCGAAGATTCAAATATGGAGTTACGTGGTAGAAAGCTTGACTTATTCACCGGCCCACTGGCACTCCTCCCCCTCTGCAATGCACTCAAATTGTTTTGTTTTTAATGCTATGAGAAATGAAGACAGAACTATGTGCACAGTCCCGTTGGTGATATTTAAAAAATAATTAAGGAAATAATGGGAGTACTGGCTTATCTATAGCCTTTTCTGCCCATTTTGAGCACAAGTTTTTTAGTTTTGTTTTTTTTAAGAGATTTTCATAAAGCACAAGAAACTTTTTAGGGATAGATTTAGTTATTTGCAACCCCATAGTGTTCTATGGCTTGTGCCACTGTACTACAGTCTGAGTTCTAACATTTAGCTAAAAGCTTCTAATGTTTTTAATAGAGAAGGCCCAAGGAAGAGACTTCCTCCTCCTCCCCACATTTGGCTTTCCTTATCTGTGGTGGTAGATGTCTATGTTTGTACAGAATCCCTTTGACTTCAGTGAGTTCACCCCAGATATGGGGGTCTGTATGCAATGCATCGATCAGATTGAGGCATTGAAGCCTTAGTGCTTCAGTATCCAGGGCTCGACAAATAATACAATCTACTTGCCACAGGTGAGTAGATTGCAACCCGGAAGAGCCGGGTTTGGGTGATCTGCGCATGCGCAGATCGCTGGACAGCGCGGCTGGCGAGCGGGGTTTGCCAAGGTTCGGCGATCAGATCGCTGGACAGCGCGGCTGGCGAGCAGGGTTTGCCAAGGTTCGGCGAGCCCTGAGTATTACTAATAAAACACTTTAGCTGGCTGAAATAAAATCAGAACATTGTTGCTTGCTCTATTGGCCAGGGAAAGCCCAGAGCATTGTATAGAATGGAACATGGTATAGTCTTATAGACAATGGGAACAGATAGTACATCTCTACTGCTGCAACACCAAGCAGAGAAGAGGTAATTCCCTGTAAAAGGGTTAAAATACAGCCTGTGCAAAGCAGCAGAAAAGTGGTCATGGCATGGATTCCATTAACTGCTTTACCATCTCTTTCCAGTTGCAGATACAGTAATGCCAGGATGTGTGGGCTTAGGCTTCTCCTCTAGTTCTGTTAGTACTATAGTAAGTTTGCAGAATTTTGCTTGCAAAAAGCTTGTTTTCAGGCTTGTCTGCAGGCATGTGAATACAGTAAATATTAATGAAGTGACATGAGGTATCAATGAAAATATCAAGATAACTTTTTCTCAGTCAAAATCACACTCTCAATTGGCTTTATATTTGTAGTCACTCAGACATTAAAAAGGGTCTTTCCTCTCCTCTTCTGCTCTATTTCATTCATCTGTAAAATACTGGCCGTAATTCTGGATACTCATTCAAATCTCTAAATCTTGGACTCAGTGCTAACTAATTTTGGCTCCTAAGGAGTGTCAGAGTCAAACTTAGACATAGCTAGGTTTTAAAAATGAAATGCTGCACTCATTAAAATGCTACATTTATAATAAGAAGGTACCTGCTCCAGGAGCACAGCAGTGTCTTTCTGGTTCCTTACATCTGAAAATCGGGTAGAGGGAGTGTCTGTGTATGGATCCACTCCAGACCTGAAAAGTAACAAACAGTTGTGAGGCACTTCTTGGGTCATCTAGTCCACACTGGTGACCATCATATTCACCCTAAAATTTCCCCAATTCCTTAATTGCATCCTATTACTACCATTTATATGCCATTGCGCTCCACTCAATATTTTCTTCCTCCTTATGTAAACTTTTCTGATACTTCTCTGGCAATCTCAATAATCCCATAGCCAAGCTTTAACTTTTGATCTTTTAAGTCTGTCTAGTCATTTGTTTTTGTTGCCCTTCTCTAAATTGTCTGAGATGTAGCTATGTGTTGTTCCTGGAACTGGGACTGTTGGTAGGATTAGCCTGAGCTCAGCTTGGTAAGCTTGGTCAGGAAGTCTACACAGTATTTAGGCTAAGTCTACGCTACAAGTTTTCTCAGCAAAAAATATAACAACGAAGGACTCATTTGCATATTTTCTGCCAATCCATTTTTGCACTAGGGGTTTTTATGCCAAAACAAGCAGTGTGGACATTTTCTTTTTGCGCAAAAATCCCTTTTTCCGCAGGATCCTTATGCCCCAAAAAAGGAGGTATATCAATCTTGGGGAAAAAAGAGGTTTTTTGCACAAAAAGAAAATGTCCACACTGTTTGTTTTTGAGCAAAAACCCCTAGCGCAAAAATGGATCAGCAGAAAATATGCAAATGAGATTGCAACTCATGCAAATGGTTTCCTCATTAGCATATTTTCCCCAAGAAAACTCGTAATGTAGACATAGTCTCAGTGTGTAGAATGCTCCCAAGGGAATGGGGGCATGGCTGGAATATTGGTGTGCTCAAGTGATCCTTGGCTTCCCAGAAGGGGCCATGGTAGCTGGCTGCAATTTAGAGCAGTCCTGTAGTTAATTTTGTGTTGTAACCACATTAATCCCCAGACCACCCCAAGATTGGGTGGATGGGGACTATGCTATAGTGGCATGAACTTTTAAAAAGTTTTTTTTGGCACCTACTATAAAAATGAAATAGAGGCTCCAAATTTATGATTGCAGTGACAATCTCTTATTGTCCTGTGTTTTTTATTGGTTTACAATTCTATATTTTGGAATAAAAAATGACAAGCTCTCAATGTTGTACCCAAAGTATTCATAGAGGATTCTCATTTACCACCTGCAATTTCCCTTATATGAGACACTATAATGGGCCACATAATTTAATACAGTCAATTAAGACATTCAGTGTAATAGCAACAGACCATTTTTTTCCTGTGCTGCCTTCTTTAGTTGCAGCACTTTTGTTGTGATTGAAACTTTTCATCTTGCTCCTGGTGCTCTAAATTGAGATAGTTCATCTACATTAGGGAAGCCTTCCTTGGACTAATTTTGAGGCTTCCTTGTAGTGTAGACGTGTTATTTTGAAATAAGCTATTTTGGAGTATTTCTTCCAAAATAGCTTATTTCAAAATAAGCGTGCAATGTAGACATACATTTAGAGACTAATATATATATTTGATCATGAGCTTTTGTGGGTAAAACCCATTTCAGCAGATAAATTAGAGTGAAAATTACAGAATCCAGAGTACATATAATAGCAAAAGCAGCCATCTGTCAATTATAGGACCAGTATTAATTAATGTAATTAAGTCATGCTGGATGTATCCCATGCAGAGCATTTGCTGTGGAAATGCAAGTATCAAAGGGCATGTCTACACTGCAGAGCAAAAGTCGAATTAAGATATGCAACTTCAGCTATGTCAACTGTGCAGCTGAAGTCAAAATAGCACTAAAAGCCAAATTAAGCTATCTGCACAGCAGGAAGTTGAGGAAGAACACTCTTCCTTTGACTCCTCTTACTCCTCGTGAAATGAGGGTTACAGGAGTTGGAGTAGGATGTTCTCAATCTCAACATTATTTTTAAATAATGGCTTGCTGTTATTTCCCTCAAGAGAAGTATGTTTAAACAAGGACTACAGGGCTACTTTCTCCAAAGTGTGCACCTGAGCAGATTACAGTAGTAATGGCATAGTGGTTTGTAAATTCTGTACAGAGGTACAAGTGGCAATGTCACTTAGAAATGCAATTATTGTCACTTGGGCTCTGGTAGACTTCATATGCCGTCACGATAAAATAAAATTATTCATCTGGAGATCATCTGGTAAAAAAACACTGGACCCTTCATTCAATCTGTATAAGACATGAAAGAAGAGGAATAAAAGGGTTTAGTTTTATTAGTTCTTCCCCTGGTTGAATGGATGAACTGTCAAAATTGCTACCAGATGCACTTTCAAAGTGTGAGACCAGAAGACTGAATGTGTAACATTTTCCAAGGTGTCTTGGAAAAAAGCAGGCTTAGGTTGAACTTGGTAGGGCAGTGACCATATTGAGAACCACTTCCACTTGGCCAATGGTCACTGTAGTGGAAGAGTTTCCTATCACTTGTTAAACTGCCTCCAAACATTGTTCCTCTTCACTTAACCCCACAGTCTGCACACTGAGGGTACGTCTACACAGCAACATTATTTTGAAATAACTTAGTCCATGTCTACACAGCAGGAAGTTATTTCGAAATAATGTATAAATACTGTCAAGCTGGAGGATTTCTTACTCCAACTCCTGTGACCCTCATTGTACGAGGAGTAAGGGAAGTCAGAGGAAGAGTGCTCTATTTCGAAATAAGTGCTGTGTAGATGCTCCCAATTTTGAAATAAGCTACGCAATTGATGTAGTTCAATTTGTGTAGCTTATTTAGAGTTAAGCCCGGCTGTGTAGATACACCCTAAGATGCAGGGAGCTGAGTATTGGATGGAAAGATTTACCATAATGGTTAGGCAGGAGATCAAGAGGAAGAAGCAGGGATGTGGGAGGTCAGATCAAAGAGGTCAGAGAACCAG